TGAGTGAAAGATTAGTATCACTTAGTAGTGGCGGGATGTTTGTGACTCCACAAAGAATGTCTGTAAGTCTATTGTCCAGCGTTTTTTTGTCTCCTTGCTTGCCTTCAGTTCTCTAACGACTTCTTCCTTCTTAAGTTTCTTGAATGGATCAACACTTCTTTCCTTCCCCAGTTTTCCATCAAGCACTATATTCCTTCTTTCTTCCAGGTCTCTGTGATTTCTGTATTTTGAATATGTGTAGTCCATTGCCATTGACATGTGAGCATCACAGTCAGGACTGGGGTAATGCCCACCTTTCTGATTACCAGCCTCAAACTCCACAGCTGGCTTGTCTCCATTCATTAGGCGCATTTTGTCATTAGCCTGAACTCCTTTGTGCTGTAAGGGCTGTGACATTTCTCTGAGGCATTCATGTCTTGTTGAAACAAATCGCAATTGCTCCTCAGCCGTTGCCCTTGCTTTGCTAAGAATATATACATGGGGCCTTTGCACTGTAGCCTGTATGTCAATGCTTCTGCCTGTCTTTTGCTGGTATTCTGGCTGGAACATACAGCTGACGTATCAAAAACAGCATGAAACCGCTATTTGCCATGGAGGAATGGTCATGCCATATCATCCAGTGGCGTTGGCTTTCAATATGCTTGAGGTAGCTTTTCTTCTCTTCTTCTCTTGATTCCCCCAGAGACTTCAGCCTAGGATCAATAGTATCTTCTGTGAGGCTTTCGTCTGTGCGTAGTCGTAGGTATTGCTCATCACTTTTGAGAGTTGACTTTCTGATATCTGACAGTGGGATATTTCTTCCGGCCACCTTAAATGGTCTAAGAATAAATTTCCCATCATGCCAGCTTTCTGGCATGTTGTTTCTCCAAACAAGGTTGTAGACTCCTTTTTGGACCCTTTCTTGAATTTCTTTTTTTTATTTTGTTGTTATTTCTTGGGACAGGAACTGAGATTTCTCCTCCAGGCTGCTTAAGTAGACTTCGTCGTACACGAGCTTGATCATGAATTTTCCGTTGTTATGCAGAGTTTATTCAGTCATTGTGTAACGGTATGTTGTTTATATAAGGGGCACAAGTATGTGCATTTGCACGTTCCACGTGCATTCCTAGCAAGGGTATATAAGGGGTGAAAACAGTTATTTCTTCACTCACGCTTTAGGAACGGACACTCGGTGGTTTATGAGATATTTTCCCACCCACCCACCCGATGTAAGGTTTGATGCGTAGGTTTTGTCGCGCCTGATACTTCACTCTTACTTRTTTAGGCAATTCAGGGCGTCAACTGGATTACAGCATCTGTTACCAGTTCGGACACTGGGCCAGGGATTGCAGAGTTCCATACGCCAGTATTTACAGCGCTTCAGACAAGTTTAGATACCCTTCAAGGGACGCGACCGAGGAACAAGCGCAGCCAAGTAATGAGCCTAACTTCGTTGATGTTCTAACTCAGGTACATTGTGATAGTTTTACCGATTACGAGTTCGAATCGGATTTGATTTCTGAAGTTCAARTTAAGGTAATCTAAGGAAGCATGTTAATTTTTGGAAGGACATAGGAGCCTGCGATATTTTATTTTGGACGTTATTGAATCTGGTTACAAGTTACCGTTCGTGTTTTATCCCGATCATATTCATTTTAGAATCAATAAGTCAGCCTTGGAGCACAAGCTCTTTGTGGACGATGCTATTAAGGAACTCATTAACACGAATCGGGTTGTTGAATGTCAGCGGCCAACGTTCGTGGTAAACCCGTTATCAGTCYCTGTTCAGGCGAGCGAAAAAAAAAAACAAAAAAAACAAAAAACAAAAAAAACGGTTAATTTTGGAATTACGTCATGTGAATCATTGTCTTAGGAAGCTTCATGTCAAAGATGAAGATTGGAAGGTGGCACTTCATTATTTCAATCCCGGTAGTATTATGTTTCTCGTTCGATCTGAAAAGTGGCTATCACCATATAGAAATTGCAGTAGAGGACCTCAGGCTTATCTAGGGTTTTCATGGAAATCGAGCAAAGAAAATTGTCCAAGATTTTACATGTTACCGTGTTGCCATTTGGATTGAGCACAGTTCCCTTCATATCTTGAAAATTGTTAAGACCATTAGTGAAGTATTGGAGAGTCCAAAACAATAGTCTAGCTTTTTTCCTTGACGATGGTTTGTTTCTGGAATCGGATTATGAATCGGCGGCGCGTTTAAGTCGTAAAGTCCAAGGGGATCTAAAGAGTTCAGGATTTGTTACGAATAATGAAAAATCTGTATGGACACCGTGTCAGAGAATAACCTGGTTAGGTYTGATTTGGGATAGCGTYGATGGTACTTTAGGCATAACCCCTGGAAGGGTGGGGAAAATGTTAAACAGCATTTATAGTATAATCGGTCAGGAGCACATCGTTTCAGCTAGATTCTTAGCATCCTTTACTGTTCAAATGATTTCAACGGGTCCTGTCCTCGGTAACATTTCACGTATATTAACTAGACATTGTATTCTTTGGATTGCCTGCGCGGAGAACTGGGACGAGAGAAAACAATTAGATTGGTACTGTGTTGAGGAAATTCTATTTTGGAGGGAAAATATTAGTAACATGAAGGTACGGAATTGTTTTTGTTGAATCCAAGCCACATTGTATTGCGTATTCCGACGCCAGCAGCACAGGCTGTGGCGCCATAGTAACATTAGACCAGGATCATATATGTCACAGACTATGGGAAGTGAGTGAAATTTGCAAAAGCTCGACGTGGCGAGAGTTAAGTGCTATTCTATTTTCACTGGAATCTTTTGGCCCGATACTCGAGAACTCGCATGTAAAATGGTTTACAGACAATCAGGGCGCAGCGAAAGTAGTGGAAGTCGGAAGTATGAAGGTTGATTTGCATGCTTTAGCTATAAACATTTTCATACGAAGTGTTCATAAGAATATCAGATTGGGAGTAGAATGGATGCCTCGTACGGAAAACGAACAAGCTGATGCTATAAGCCGTTTCATAGACACAGATGATTGGCAGCTTTCCGCAGGGTTCTTTGAAGTAAWCGAAGGAAGGTGGGGTCCTCATACCTTAGACTGTTTCGCTACGTTTTATAACAAGAAAGTAGATAAGTTCTTTTCGAGATTTTTGGAATCCTGGAACAAGCGGTATCGWCTTTTTTGTACAAGATCTAAGTGGAGAAAATTGCTTAGTGGTTCCTCCTGTTGTCCTGTTATCTAGGGTTCTACATTACATGAGGCAGTTAACGGTGTCGGCGCAGTCATAGCGACTTATTGGCCTGAGTCGTGTTTATGGCCTTTGATCCGGGGGGTCTATGTTAACTTTGTCAAAGATTCCATTACTGAATGGGGTAGGGTAGCCTTTATTCACGGGCGTAACACTAAATCCCTACAGGGCTCGCAAAACTTTAATGGAATGGTTACTGCCTTTAGATGCGATTTTAGCTGTAAGTGAATCGGTAAGTAGGTCCCTGGCGTAATGTCTTTTAGGATGATGTCGCCGCACTATAGCAAGGATTCATCGAGTAGTTTACTGCACTGGCAACGATCTGTTGAGTATTTGACTAGCTGCACTGGCATTGATTCATTGAGTATTGTATTGCAGTGACAACAATGTATTGAGTATGTTTTGCACTGGCAATGATCTATAGAGTATTGTATTGCACTGGCAATAATGTATTGAGTATGTTTTGCACTGGCAATGATCTATAGAGTATTGTATTGCACTGGCAATAATGTATTGAGTATACTTTGCACTGGCAAAGATCTATAGAGTATATTGTTGCACTGGCAATAATGTATTGAGTATGTTTTGCACTGGCATTGATCCATTGAGTATTGTATTGCACTGGCAATAATGTATTGAGTATGTTTTACGCTGGCAATGATCTATAGAGCATTGTATTGCACTGGCAATGATCGATTGAATATGTATTGCACTGGCAATGATCGATTGAATATGTATTGCACTGGCAATGATCTATTGAGTATTTGACTGCACTGGCAATTTGTGATTATTGAAAACGGAGACCTGGCTCCAAAAGAAGGCAATGATCGATTGAATATTGTATTGCACTGGCAATGACCTATTGAGTATTTGACTGCACTGGCAATTTGTGATTATTGAAAGCAGAGACCTGGCTCCAAGAGAATGGGACTTTGAAATATTGGGCGATGGCCATGTTTTGTCAATGTTGGATCACTTCTAGAAGGGTTAGGTAGAACTTGAAAGCGACGGTATATATTGTCATTATATGTCAATTGATTTCAATCATAACCTGTATATTGTGTTTATTTCATTTACAGTCGATTAAAAGCAGCCCCTGTTGGGACGCCGTTGACGAGCACCTTCGGCAGAATGTTCCCGAACTCGTAGAAGCGCTGATGGGGTCACGTGCTCGTTCTACTGCTAAATGCTATCTGAGAGAAATCAGGAAGTCCTTTAGATGGTGTCAAATCAGAAAAGTRCCTACTGTGATACCGTTTTGCACGAGTATTTTAACTATGTATCTATTTGAGCTCTCCACAGATAGAAGATCTGGGAACACGATTAGCCGATGTCACGCTGCACTCAAATGGCTTCACTGTTTCTGTCCTCTAGCAACGATGAATCCCTTGGATAATGGAATATGTAGAAACTTGGTGGAATCTGCGAGGCGCGCCAAGAAAGCCCCAGTCAAGAAGAAAGAACATTTAAGCTCAGCAATAATAAGAGAAACAATTGACATGTATGGTAGCACTGATGCTAATGATTACGTTTAGCAACGTTATGTTGTATAGGTTACGCTTGTTTCCTTCGTTACGATGAGTTAAGCAATATTAGTCCTATAGATGTAATTTTTGATGATAAATGTCTAAAAATAACAGTCAGTAAAAGTAAAACTGACGTTTATCGTAAGGGAAATACTGTATTTATCGCTCGGTCGCCCTCTAGGTATTGTCCGGTTAAATTATTAGAGAGGTATATGGAATCAGGTGAAATTCCCTTATCAAGCAAGTTAGCTCTTTTTCGTGGTTTAACCAAATCGGAAACAGGTTTTAAGTTAAAAAGCAAGGCGTTATCATGTACTAGATGTCGGGAGATTTTCAAAGATTGTTTGGTTTCACTAGGCCATGATCCTAGGATATACGGCCTCCACAGTTTAAGGTCCGGTGGGATAACAACCGTAGTAGCTAACGATAGCAGCATTTCAGATCGTCTTTTAAAGTTAAATGGTCGGTGGAAAACCGATGTTGCTAAGGATATGTATGTCCTCGAAACACTCTTGAAAATAGGCTTAAAGTAACAGAGGCATTAGACTTATAAATTAGGTTCAATAATTGTGTTATATTAATACTATATTACGTACGTTATGTTAAAGTAGTATTCAATAAAGCGAGTGTCTGGTTCCGTAGCGAACCAACCATTTATCTTGTTGTTCTGTCTGTACTCGGAATTTAAACGGAAAATATTTTACATTCGTTTGAACGCAGTGAATTAGAATGTAAACTAAGGGTGGGCCTGATCCTATTTTATTAAAGTAACATTTTCGTTGTTGTGTACTTAAAGTGCACATGAACACTCTTAGAAAATCAGATTCTATTCTAAAGAGAACATGCTGCTGAGCACTTCTGCAAAGGAAAAAAATATTCAAACTTATATTTTCTGATTTAAATAGCATTTGCAAATCGAAAATACAAATGAAGTGACATCGATCAAGGAATGATTTAATATGGAACTTAATAGGCATTTTTCCTTTTTTTTAGATCGGAAATCTCTAGCTCTTGAGTATTACTGTTGACCATTTCAACCAAACGCAAGATACCGCAAACTAAGAAAAACCTCCAGCCTAATTCCTTGGGGTTGACGTCACTTCATTAGCATTTTCAAATGCAAACAACTTTTTTTTCTTAAAAAAATGCTTAGCATCATATTTGCCTTTTGGTAGAAATGATTTTCTAAAAGGGTCCATGTGCACTTAAAATACGTACGGCTAAATCTTCAAGGTCATTGCGTTAGTTTCTAAAGAATTAAAGTATTAAAAATGAGAAAAGTTTACTAGAAATTACTGAAATATTATGTATTCTGACACAAGCTTACATGTGAGGGATTTTATAAGTTGTTTTCATGTAATTATTCAGTGTAAATCACAGAAGCAATAGAAACTCTGCAATATGGCAGAAAAAACAAAAGACAAAAACAGCTTTCCTCGAGGTCGAGTGGACTACGAGCTAATAGCCCATGAGGACGAGTCCGCGTGTTTTAATATAAACATACTAATCAATCAAATAATGAAAACAAATTGAAATATCCCTAAAATAATTTATTAATGAGATTGATTTTCCCGCGAGTGGTCTATCAGAAATTAGACCATTAGTAGAGTAGCCAATCACAGTGCAGTATGAGTGATAGACCATTGATATGTTTATACTAAAGAAATATTTATGGTGGTAATCATCTGAAAGGACTTGATTTGTATATATTTCTATTAACAATCTAGTGGCAATATTGAGACTATTATAAAGCGATATCAGATCGTTTAGATTACCAGTCTTTTTGCTTGTCAAAGTAGACGCGAACGCTTAACCGCCAGAACTTAACGGGGAAATATGTTGAAATTAGGTACGAATTCATAGTAGAATGGTTTGGTTGATGGGCTTCAGGTAAAAAGAAAACTAGGAAGGAATGGAAATAGGATGCCAATGCTTGTAGGAGAAAAATTGATTAAACGTTTTAATCAATATTAATCGTTTTAAAGTCTGGTAAGAAAAAATACCGCTGCACTTATTTGCATCTTACTCCAAACAGAATTTCCACCAAGCTTTTTATACGAAAGTACACATTTATCCGTCTAAATATGAATTTCAGATGTATAGAACGTCGAGAGAATTCGACTAGAGACGGTTAACTGAATAAAATATGATACGTTGGTTTCATAAGAGCACTAATCTGCTTTGAGAAACAGCGGTTCGGCACCACAAACCATTTTTCAGTCACTCGGTCGCAGTGAATAAATGTTTAATGTTGATTGCGTCACGTCGAAGAAATCATTTAGAGAAATTGACTGAATGAATTTGGAAAACATGCCCACGTAATTATGAAAAAAAATCGTCGTTTGCTGACCTACTGGGTGAAATTGTTTGGGTTGAATATATTTAAACATTGGAAGCCTGAAGCAAAACGTCGGCTTCAAATGCAATTCTCCTTTTAGGAAAATGCTCGACTCAGTATTTCTATTTTCCAAGGATGTAATGAATTTTGTGTTGAAGCTCATACATAGTAACTCTTAGCCGTTTTTTATTGGATGATGCAGTTCATGCGCAGCAGTAAATTACAAGACAAAACATATATAGTATTGCTTTTCACTAGAATGTGCAGAATGCATTTTCTGCACATTGTTGTAAAGCTACAAGTACTTTTAAATTAAAATTTCTGTAGATTGAATTTTAAAATTAAAATTTCTGTAAATTAAATTTTAGCTATTTATAGTGCCAGTTTGTCAATATTAAACTTTCCGTATTTTTTAGGCATAAGATATCCACTGAAATGGATTAATGGATTAAAAGGATTACTTTAAAAGACTAGATCAGAAATTAAAAGATAGTGCAAATCGAAAGATTAAACTATCAAACCATTTGGCATGCGTTTAGTGATAGTTATGTCAATATTGTCATGAGTCTTTCAAAAAGATCAAATTTCACTGACACGAAGGATTGCTAATTTTTTATACTTATTAAAGAGCTCCCTAGCGGATGTTTACCAAATTGAACTCTAACTGGAAGTCGTATATGATTTCCGCTACAAATATTGCAAGTGCAGTGCTGAGTGACAATCAGTTCATTGTATGATAAATACAAAACCCAAAATTAGGCCTACCCCGGGCCAGAAAGTCGCCTTAAGTCGYCGCAACTTAAAAAAAGTAAATTGGGCGGGGCACTGTGGCAGCTTAAGGCGTCTTAAGAMWACTTTCTGGCCTGGAGTAAGCCGAAGACTCTTTCGCTGTGAAGTAAGTGCTTGGTTGGTTCAGAAGAACAAAAYGTRCATCCAATTAACAAGTCAGTCTAGACTCGGCTAAAGCTGTCGAGAGACTGRTACTGTTGAGAAGTAGCTGGAATRTCYTGGTAGATACCACTGGTCGTGATGYCTGCAGGCTTARGAGGTAGCTTAGTACTTGGACTAAGTGWRCTGTAAGTATCTGTGTGTRKGCTGACCGACTGGTACATGGTCGTGTTAGCAGATTCTTGTTCTCTACCGTTGCCAACAGGCTCGTACTGCACCACATTCTGTCCATCAGTRCTGGTTGGTTGTTCTTGAAGCGCAAACGTATTCTGAAGAATTATTAGTTTGCATAAATTTTAGTATACTAATGGTATGAATATAATCAACATTTCCGTTTCAACAGCATATTTCACGACCAGCTCTAGCTACGACAGATTTTGCATGCAGATGTAATGGCTTCCTTCATATTTAGGCTCCATGATGCCCTTACTTAACTTTGAAAGCAAATATTAGTTAGGGATAAACTATTTTTAGCAATTAAAAGAATATAGAGAGTATATATACTGTCATAAATACTGAATGTTATGACGACGCCCGCGACTATGCTTTTAAATGTTTAAAGGCTTCTATCCGATTGATTACGAAACAAATTAAAAGACTGAAATGATTACTAATTAGTAGGCATATCTGGAATTCGTGATTAGAAACGTTCTTAAAAAGCAAAATGTTGTTCWAGAACTCATAAATAATTCATGAGCWATTAGCCAAATGAGCATCGAACTATTGGGTCACATGAYGGGMCTTTATATCTCGATATAGCACTGATGTTTTATTAATCAGTTCTTTATTAGATATGATGGGAACTAGCGGYAAACTATAAGTGTGAAGTGCGTCGKTGTTTCGAAAGAAACAGTTGTGTAAAAAGATTAAAAAAATTAAACACCCTAAAAAAGTAGGTGAAGTAACTTACTGACGGTTCAGACGTTAATCCTTCGTCGGAGTAAAAGAGATGTCTTTTACTCCGACGAAGGATTAACGTCCGAAACGTCAGTAAATGCTTTGTGCTTATGCCTATGCTTATGCGCTAGTGAAATCCACGCTTTCAAAGTTACTTCATCTACTTTTTTACGGTGTTTAATTCATCTTTTTACACACCTTTATCAGATATATTATAGAAAATATGTTTTATTAATTAATCAGCTAGTTTTAAAATCAGTTTGAATCAATGTGTGCAGATACATGCACTTTAGCATAGACTAGCAATTCTTCCGTGCTGGATCAAAATTCCTTTAATTTTGGCACAATGCACATGTTCATTATTTATATAGTTTATGCATTATCACTGCTTTCGAAATTTTTAGCTATTTTCTAAAATGATAACAATTTCGATGAATGCTGAATTTCTGAATGTTGTTATATATCCCGATACAACACGTACTCTCGTTATATAAACAACACCGTGAAATAATTAACAGGAGAGGGAGGGGCTATAAAACCAGAGAGAGGTCGGGGATGGGGGCAATTACATAAAATGGTTGCCCAGCGTTAGCATAATATGCGAAATACTTTATCAACAAATTTTTTATCTGCTAGCTAAAGCTTGTTTACGTGATCTTTTTATGGAAAAATCCATGATACGAAACATACGAATGAAAATCTAAATGCAAAGACTCAGTGGTGTCGGTTTGAACTTATTAAGATACATGAATTTTAATTGAAACTATAGATTTTTTTAATTTTGTCACATAAATTGAAGATCTAGAAGCTGAAAAACATTTTGAAAAGATCACCTAAACAAGCTTGTGAACAGAAGTAAATTTTCTTCATCAATGCAATTCTTCATAGATCTATTATCTTATGTTTTGGATTAGGGTACTGCCTAATTTTTTCCTTGAGAAATCTTTTACAGCACCCTCCTCCTGTCAGTTATTGCACAGTTCCAAATCAGACGTCATATGATATCATCAAAATGAAATATGACGTCATAAAAAGAATAAGCAAGGCTCTTACCATGTATCCAACTTCGTTAATGTTCTCACTAAACCAAACCAGAAAAAATATATGTGATGTATAACGCACTCAGTAACACATGGAATTAGTGTACCTTTTTGGTGTTTTAAAACTCTCATGAAAAATAAAATTAAAGCCCTACTAACTAGGATATAATCACGTCAACAGCCCTTAATTGGCAGATTTAGAATCATTAAATATACTACCTTTTCTTTGCGTGCCTGTTATTCTCTGTTGAAGTACAAATCATCAAAAGTCAGTGTTTTTTCCGCTTCTTTCCGCCATTAAGTTAATGAGTCGCTCAAGCGTTTAGTTCATCAACTTGTGTGTTTTACCTGTCAAATGCCTCCAAATAAAACAACCAACGAAGATGACATTAAGAATCAGTGACACACCAAACAGAACACCAAGGACTATAACAGACACCTGACTGCCCTGACACCCCTGACCGCCCTGACAACTTTCTGATGAAGAAAATAACGCCAATAAATAAAGCTTCTGTTGTCAAATAATGATAAGCCTGAATCAAAAAATGTTCAAACCTGAACTTGCTGTTGTTTCTACTGTTGTTTCTACTGTTGTTTCTACAGTTGTCGAAATAGTAGTCGTAGGTAAGATATAGGCCCCTGTGGAAAAAATTCATCATAAGTTAAAACTAACACATCGTCATGTACTGATAAACTCTTGACGTCCGCCTCAGGGAATCACAGTACTATAGGAATGATGTCTCTAACAATTGTTCCCGGGACCCAAAATTAAGACCAACTTATATGTGCTCCATGACAACAACATGTGAAGTAGCGCTGTGCAGCAACAGATTCCTCCTCAGTGGTACGGCCGGACAGCAAAGACTCAAGTCATTGGATCCTACAGGCAAAATCATATTGCACTGCATTCTTTAGACGTTAAAACTTCTCACTTTAATTCGTTAGGCTCTGATCCTTGCCCCTATGGATGCGAACTATCTCTAACCGCGTCGGCAATTCAAAGCTACCTTCGCATTGTCGACATATTTATCTTCCCACTTCTGATTTCTTCTTATCCATAGCTAATATAACGTGACGATTACGTATTGGATTATCAAGAAACCAAGTTAAAAGTATATACCTTCTTGTATGCTGCTAAGATCTATACTGATTCCTTCAAGACTCCCTCCTTGTTTGCATACGGCTACTTTAAAAGGTGACAATGGGTCAGAGACATTAGCGATCAGTGTAAGCTGAAACTCCACAATTACACTTCCTGGCCTATTTGAAATTAAATGAGATGGCAAGACTAAAAAACTAAAAAAATATCAAAAAGAAAATAATCTTCGAAAACTATACATATGTAGACCTGTTCTACTTACCAAAATGCCGATACATCTACAGACGTGACGTACTTATGGAACGCATATACTAATCTGAGCTGAAACAAACAATAAAAAGACATTAAGTCGCCTAAATTAACTAAGGAAAATGGTAAAATGCTGAGTTTGTCCACGGAAAGCTTTTACTACTGCTTTGGAATCACCGGTTGTTTGAGACAAATTATAGGCCATCTTTCAACCAGTTTTATTACAGCGCTATGTGCAAACAAAATTTAACACTAAAATACAATATGAATTACAAAGAACAACGATTACACTTACGATGTGGCCCATACTGGGTGCCAAAGACATGTGAAAAGTGGCAAAACTATGGAACTAAAATAAACTAGCGAATTGTGGTTCTCACCACGAGGGACCCCTGATCACGTGGCCATGCTGCCACAGGGATCTCGAACACCGGTCCCAAGTGACTTATATTTTTTTGAAAGTATACAAGTTCCAAGATAGGAAGACGCAGCAACGAAATGTGCTCATCAGTCTGAAATTATATGTCGAGATCGGGAGAAAAGAAAAGCGTTCTTTTTAATGTTTCAGGCTCCGATGCAAAAATTGTGGTCGGCTTGATCAATCTCAAGTCACTTATTAGCATTACGTGCAGCCGAACCAAAACTGTTGTTAGGTTTGTCTGGAAGTCAGGGACAAAGACCTTCATTGTCTGCTATTTTTGAATTCAAACAAACGCGTCTTACTCAAAAAAGAAAAACAACAAAATTGCGGTCGAGGCAAACTTGCCTAAAAGCCCTTCGCCAACAGTGAAATGAAGACTCTTGAGCCCATCTTTTACTCTAAGACTTCAATCCTTAACCTTCATGTATAGTGAATAGAATAACTTTTTTTTAGCTTGATCAGTGTAACCACGAGTATGATTAAATAATTAAAAAACAACCAAACAAACAACAACAGCAACTCAACAACGACAACACCCCCCCCCCCAAAAAAAAAAAAAACACTAAAAAAATTTCCTTTCTGATGACTTATAGTTACCATTTTCTCTATCTTTTCTTTTAAAGTATTGAAGACTATTGTCTTGTGATCAGCTAATCTTGACTCGTACGTACAGCTGATACACTTGAATGTGCTCTTCACCACTTTTTTGGTAGCTGCAACAAACAAAATTGCTATAGACTACACGCTTACAGCAGGATGTACTCGTGCCCTAAAGGTGTTGAAAAGTGCTAGCTTATTCAGTCCTTTTTCAAATTGAGCTCCTTTGGAACCCCGAGTAAGTAAGAATGTGTTGCTTGGTTTTGAGGCTAACACAGAGCAAACCAGAACTCGAAATTGGAGTATTAGAATAAGTCTATCCATACTTTTCACTTTGTTTCACACGAAAGACTATCAGAGTGAACGATTTGAGTCACGTCTGCATTGACGTGCGTGATGTTTACCGTGTCTACGCTTTTAAAAATTTTTCAAAAAATTATTGTATATCTATAGTTCCTTCAAAAGCTGCTAAATATTGCATAAAAAGTAATCAACAAGGAGTTACTTTCACAAATTTTACTCTTTAATAATATATGTAATTTTAGTATCTATAGATGAACTGCATGCCTTTGGTAGATTCTTTACATCTAAACTAGACCCTCTTAGAGCTTCAACTCGGGCGAGCAATTTTTGAGAAAGACAGTATATTACATTGATGGGCGTATCGGCGAACAAGTGAACTTATTTTTCGTCATGGTCGTACTTCGGTTCCAGATTGTCCTCGGCCTAACTAGAATGCACTGGGTACGAATGTTAAACCTATCACATGCTATTCACAACTTCTATGTACTATCTTTATGGTGGCGAGTGTGATAACGCGTGATTTAACGACATGGACTCATAATGGTAATTGAACTGAGTGGAGTGCAATTTTGTCTGAAATCAAACGCGCGATTACAAAATTGCACGACACGTAGTTCACTATTACCACTTAATTGCCAACGAGCCAGCTGAGCGAAGCACAGGGACCGCGGAGCGGGAATTTGTTTGGGGGGGGGCTAGCGGCGAGAAGGTACTAAGGGGGGGGGGGGGATTTCAACTCTCGGAAATGTCATTTCCAGCGTTTTGAGACGATGTCAAGATGTCATATTTACTGCAAACACGCCCAGCGACATTATCAGTAAAATCCCAAAGACTTCGCAAAAAAGCCTCAATTTTAATCATTCACGCTCAGTTTTTACACAATTTTTATAGAATATATATGGTTAAATTTCCTAAGGAGGCTTTTCGCTTCTTTATTTAAGAAAATTCAATATTGCAGGAAAATTGTTGGGGGGGGCTACAGCCCCCAAGCCCCCCCTGCTCCGCGGTCCATGAGCATCATAGAGCCGATGCATGAAAAGGTTATGGAGAACGAAGCTCGATTCGATGTAATGTAATGTAATGTAATGTAAAAATGGCATTCCAACATTTTGTTACTCTTAATAGTCTTCCCACTGAGCATGGATATCTCAGATAGCTATTCTCTGAAGCAATTGTTCGTTTGTGTGTAAATCATAAATGGCACTGGCCAATAAAAGAGTACTTTAACTCAATGTGAGAATTCAATGAAATGTACTCTGTGCTCTTGTTAGATAGTTTTGTTTGTTTTAAAAAATAGTGCAGTGGCACGCTGGCTTATTCGTGAACGCGTTGGTTTGTTCTGGTACTCAAGTTTATTGAACACGCTGGTTCGAAGATTGACTAAAAACACTCTTAGGAAGTATGCACAGGTCAATACAACAAAATGAAGGAACAGAGACCTAATTTACTCACCGTTTATGGTCTTTTCAGTACTTYAACTTCAACAGTTTCTTCCTTTAGCTATGGCGTACTTCGACGAATCGCAAGCGACTTTGGAAGAGTCTGGGCTAACCATTAACATTGCAATGATATCTTGACTGAGTCTACATAAAAATCTCTGACGCTTCTAAAAAGCTGACATCATGGAGGCATCCAGGATAAGATCGAAAAGACAATAAACTTCACGACACTAACTATTTTCTTAGTTTCTAATTATATGACATATTTCATCGATTTGTTTAATGTCGCACTAAATCCCCTTTGTGACAATTTCTGGAAAGGATCTCCTCGTTGGCACTTAGCGGTAGCTATGACTAGTTAACTTATATCCATTTTGAAATCCGATAAGTCGTGGCTTTTTAAAATCGGAACCGAAAAGTCTTTAACATCACATTTGCAATTTCATAAACTGACAGGTCATGTCACTTCACTTCGAGGAAAACTACGACGAACTTGTCAAATTTCAAACGAGCAGTTTTTGTTCAAGTTTTATTTCATTTTGAGTCCTCATAAGATTACATTATGGAGTCCGTCTGTTTAGCCTGTCGCAAAGAAGATCTAAGAATTGTTGCAGGGTCTTTGAGATGGATATTTTAACGTGTTTATCGACAAGTTTGCGTAAAGCTGTCATCTGCGAGGAGGACGATCGATGCCATGTGATTTTGAGAATTTACTCGCCTTCACAATCCTTCCGTTGTTGCCTTTCTCCTTCAAAGAGCGATCAAAGGAACTTTGTATCTGCTTTACTGATTCTGGTTGGAAGTTGTCGACTTTTTGAAGTCTTACTCTTCTAGCATATAACTGGTATAAAATGTTGTCAAAGTTTTGCTTGACAATCAAGATCAAGATGGCGGCTCGTGAACGAGGACATTCGGCATCCACATTTTCCAAAGTTTTGTTGCTGTCTTTGTTCTTATTAGTGACCTGAAGCCTAAGGATGTCTGCATAATTTATAAGCCCTGGATATCTTCATTCATCGACGGGCTTCAATTGTTTGTGTCGCAGTTGCAAACTGAGCTACATGAACTGGCATCCTTTGTTGAACAGTTCTGACATTTTTGGACTGTAAATTACACTTTAGTCAGGATTTAGAAGTATCAAATGATGAAAATTACACTGAGATAGTACATTGTCATCCAAAAACTGTAAGTAAGAACCAAAATAATGCAATTGCACATATATTTTCATAAAAATATTTGCTGTAAAATGTAAAAAAAATTACATTTTGTGTGTCCTTTTTGCTGTAGTTTAATTGGTTAACCACACACAATCCTATAATGTGATTGGTTGCCTTTTACTTGTTTTGCATTGTGACTGGCTCCTCAAAGGAGTGCGATTAAGAATTAAAAATAGATAAGTAAAAAATAATAATTAAACAATAGATAAACTTCACAAATGAAGGGTGATATTTCTTGGTACTATGCATGCAATGCCTGTTATGCAAAGTAAGTATTTCAAGTAAGCCGTATTTCAGGAGGAGCCGATCAGGTCTGTTCTTCTAAATAACTGTTCTTATACGATTTTTCTCCTGGGGAAAATGATTGAGAACTAGAATTTTAAATTGGGAAAAAAGCACTTGAGTATCTAAGAGATAATCGGGATTTCCCTTCCTCTTTAAAGATCTTGAAGAGTTTTCTGGGAAACATATCAAACTTAAGGGTGACAAAAAGTCCGTGATCGCTAATGAGGATTCAATACTAGATTTTAATCAACAAGAACCCTGAGTTCGGTGTGCGTCTAGTTGTGAATAGCATTGTTTTCTTTAATCCAGAAGAGGCAGAATCCCTCATCAAATTGGACAATGTAGGCTATGCACCTCAGCCAGACAGCCACGTTGCGGCTTTACTATGTTACGAAGTATCGGTTTATATCTCGCCAACGAAAATGCACTACTTGACTCGATACACCAACCTTTATGAGCTAAACCTAATATATGCTCTTACAAAACGGCTCACGGTTAACCCCATTGAGACCCTCATGACTGGTGGACCTTTTTGTTTTGCTCTCTCTCATATGGGAATGTTTGAAAACCATCAATTGATGATGTCAATTCAATTAATTTCATTTAGACTTATCCATATGTAAAGTCACGTCACTGCGAACATTGCGAACACAATATCACGGAAATAAAGATTTCTGCCAGTCAGAGCTGATGCACCACATATAGGTGTAATCAAAAGCTTACTCAAGAATTAGCAGAAATTGTGTTAACACTTAATAATAAATTTAACTTACATCGTTTATGTACAGATACTGTGAACTTGCAGCTTCCAACGTTATTGCCAACTGTACAGTCACTGGTCGTATCTCTCCTTTTTCCACAAAGAGTGTAATTATGCCTGTCAAGGTTTCCTGGTGGAAAGCAGCTCATTGTTGGGACAGGGTAACCGTCAAGACGAACTGATATACATTGGTGATTTGCTATAGCGTAGTTTTGAACACAGGGTTGCAAATCTAAAAAAAATCAAAATTGGTTGTAAACGTTTTAAAAACATTCGCTTAATTCTTCAAAGACTAAGAAATTATTTAGAAACAAAACTATGACTAAAGGGATGTACGTAAATTGTGTCACAACACGACTTTTTCCCGTTCGAAATGAGCAACCACTGCTTTAGTCGTCTCTCATGCGCAGAGACCTTACGAAAAGACAAAAAATGTTGTCATTACAATTGCCCTACAAATTTTCAATACCTCTGATTTGAAGCTAAAACTGTATTCCCAGAAAACTCAAACTCTAGGTCATGTGGGAATACAGGCTTAGCCTCAAATCGGACTCGGAAAAGATTCAAATTTCTAGAGCTATTGTAACGTCAACATTTTTTCGTGCTTTCTTGTTCTCTACGCAAGTGAGTCTGTTGTGTATTAAAACAGCGGCCGCTCGCATTGAACGGGAAAAGGCTTATTAAGCAAGGTTTAAAAATTCATAAATTTTATATATTGATGATATAATAATTTGTGAGATCCGTGGGCCCATATTATATCCTCCATAACATATCATCTTGAAAGTTTAGAAATTGACTGTTTTTCATTCCTTGATCCGAAAATATCGGACGGCGAAAATAGCCAAGTTATTTTGTGATTCAAAATTCTTGCAATAGTCGAGAACCAGACTTTCTGAATTTGACGTGAAATCCAATCATTCATTTTGTTTGCTCTTATTGCCTCCTTTATGAACTTAGAATAGAAATGCAACAATCTTTAGATTGTCGAATATTAATAGCGGAGCTCCCGAGCGGAGCACCATAACTAAGGAAAAATGGTAAACCCATGAGGTTGAGTTTTGATCAACCGACACAGGAAGCCCAGTTGTCCTTCCGTCCGTCCGTCCGTCCGTCCGTCCGTCCGTCCGTCCGTCCGTCCCTCCGTCCGTGTACATCGCGATTCTGATTGGCTACTTTTGAGAAGGCGGGAAAAGGAAGCGCGCTCGCGTCAATTTTTGAAAACAACTTTTTCACCACAACGACGACACAACGACTCCATTTTTGTCCTTTGAAATACTTTACTTCTGCACCAAATGTCGGAAAATCAACGGATAAATAACGGAAAGCGATCTTTATCTGAAGAACAACAGACAAGAAGAAGAGAAAGAGAGCGTCGAAGAAGTCTAAGTGAAGAACAACGCAGGCTTGAAAGGGAGAGAAAACGTGATAGACGAAACAATTTAAGA